CGCACAGCTTGGACGCCTCCACGCGGCCAAACCGCTGGCACAACGCCCGAAAGTCGTTTGAGCGGTAGTGCGACGGGAGCCCGGAGATATAGACGTTGCGCAGCTGGAGCGGGTTGATGAGTGCATTCCTGCCCAGCGAGGGGGGGGAGTTGACGTCTAAAGTGGCGTTCCCCGAGCTCGACGGTGGATGCACCTTTCCCACAAAGCCGTTATAGTTGAGTAGCAGTTGGGAGGGCAGAAAGCTAGAATTGACTTTTTCGTCGAATTCGTTGTTATCCAGGCTCCTGGTCATGGCTAAGAGGACGTCAAGATATAAAAGTAAAGATACAAAACTCCTGACTTGTTTCCGTTTTATGGTTATGTCCAGAAAACGGTAAAAAAAATAAAGTGGATATTTGAGAGATAAAAATTGTATTACTTTTAAATTTCAATATTTCTAAGGAATGCAAATTAGATCCCGCGAAAAGATTGTAATTAGATAGAAGAAGAGAAAATAGTGTAAAACAGAGCTCTGGAATCAGGGAAGGAAGCATTTAAACCGACTGAACAAGTTCATATAATGAATCGAGACACACTTTTCTTTTTCATTTGTTTGACACTAATCCCTATAATTTTAACTCCTCTCCACTTCTCTGTAGGTTTACGCCCTTTCGCATAAAACTGAGGAAAAAAAGCACATGCTCATGGTTAATTGCGTTAAAAAGTTGAAAGATGGGACAATAAGGAGCTGGATTCGAATCCAAGCAACATGTTTTTATATAGGAAGTGCATAAATGAAAAAAAAATAGTAATTGATATAAAAAAGAAATGAAAAATTAAGTATCGATATTATTTCTGATCAAGTAAGAAGTAATACATCGAAACACCTCTATTGAAATTAAGTAAGCAAAAGTGTTTTTTTACAAAATTAGAGCACAATTTATGAATAACGAAAAAAACCGATTTTGCATTGTGTGTGTGTGTGTGTGTGTACGCGTGTGAATTTCAACTTCCCCTGACATCTTTAAGCCCACAAGGAAAACCAGTATGAATATAAAAACCATTTCCTTTGTTTCATTTGCTTATGAATAGTTTTCTGCTAAAAAAAAAAATAATCATCACTTCACATGAGCCTAATCTCTTAAAATCTACGCTGTTAAACGGGAAGATAAACGCTTACTTGGATCCCATAAAAATGGCACAAGTAAAATAATGTTATCTTTGAAAACCTGCATCAACTTATTCTGACGTACAGAACGCCTTCAAAAAACTTTTTTGAAAAAAATGTGTTAATAAATAGCATACCATGAGGATTAAGAAAGAAGAGTCCGAGTCAACGAAAATTATCCTCATAAAAAGGGAAAGAGAATCATATTGAAATGATACTGCGGTGTTCAAACTTGAACAAGGCAGTAAGAGTGATGAAGATAATAAAACAAAAACTTAAAACGATTAATTATGCTGTTGTATAGCACATGCTATACTCTAAACGCATCGGAGGGCACCTATACAATTATATACTGAATATTGATGAACAAATCTGTCACATAATATTCCTTTTTTTATTATTTCACTCACTAAATGATATCCAACATGTCAAGCCATCACAATATAGATATAGAGAAAGGCAAGCATGAAAAGTAAATAGCCTTGAACTGGGAAATAGATCACGCGAAAGAAACTTACTAAAATATACACTTTGTGCTAAAGTAAGACATAGTACAGACTTACTAAGCATCCACACCCAAATGAACGTGTTTGTAAAGAAATAGTAAATAGTGAATAACATATCTTACTCACTTCTCAGTTCAATGTTCAGGCCCCTGATAGTATTCGTTCAATTGTCGAAGCAAAAGTAGATCTAAAAAAATAAAAAATAAAAAGTGTTATTCCAAACTAGGATAGCACACTTTTAAATAGCAATTCCTTGCTAAAAATAGAAGAATGAATGCATAAAATGAAAAGCCTTATAGGACGAGCTATGTGTAAAACGATGAATCATTGTTTCTGATATTTATTATATTTAACTTGATCAGATAGAAAATTTTGTAGAAATAAGTCATATACATAATAACAGTAAATCTGAAAGATGAAATCACTTTCAAAAAGAAAAGAATAATAATAATAATAAAGTTAGTGACGAACAAAAGGCGTTTTAATGTATAGAAATTGTCGACAAAAAAAAATAGTTTCATAAATACAACGATGCGGAGAGTTACTTGATAATAAACTAGTGTAATATGCTGGGAGGGGGTGGATAAATGAATCATTGAATGTAAAACAGTTTATATGTATGAATCGAAATTAGGATGACGTCTATTTATGAGCTTGAACATACATCCCTAGTTAATAATAGGTGATCGAAGTCCACCGTCGAGAAGAGATCTATTCAAAGTGGTCGCATATTCATCAAAAGCTACACATGAAGAGCGGTTAATGCATTCAATTTCACAATAACTTTACGAATTTCATAATTGAACTCATACACACCTTGCTATTCCTCTATTCAATAAACAACCTAAATATTGAAATGAACGGAAATGATTTATAGTAATCCCATGACACCGTTGTCAATCAGTAGCTCCCATATATATATATATATATATATATATATATATATATGCATATGTGCGTGTATATGCATGTGTATATGTACTTGTATATATATACTGCATAAGTAGTTCACCAATACCATTGAAGAGAGTTGATAAATGTCCAAGTGAAACAAGGCTATTGAGAAGCGTATAGAGAAGGAAAATTCAATGTGAAAATGCAGAAGAGACTTTTCCTTTTTTTTTGCAAGGAGAAAAAAACAAGAACTGAATTAATTTTTTTGACCAACCACTTCATTACTTGAATATACTCCACGGCTGCACGCCATGCTAGGAAAGTACCAGATCCCGTCCCCGCAGTCCACCGCAGTCCCACCCCGTGATCACCCCTCCTGGCACTGGTGAACAATCCAACGACGCGCCGGGGCCGAGAAGGCCTGCGTTGTAGAGCGGAAGCACCACATAGTACAGCGGGTTGGGCGGCAGGCCGTCGACCGATGGGGTGGCCCAGTCTTGACAGGGGGCGGCCTCGCGCGGGGT